ATACACTAGTCAGTTAAAGATATTTTGGAAAGGATAACCAAAGTAGATCTGTTTACTAAAATATTTATTTGAAAAAATACACTTGATAACTTTGTGAGTGGTAGAAAAGGAACGGAACCGTTATTTAAATCTTAGTAGTTTTCAATTTGAGAAGCAGAGAGCCCCATCTGCCCAGATACCTGCTGCAGCCAGGTCTGAGACCGGGGCTGACGCCGAGAGCTGGGGGAGCAATCTGCAGTCCTGTGAGCCACTCCCCTGCCTCTCAGGGGATGTGTTACGGGAAAGATGGAGTCAGGAGGTAGAGGTGGGAATTGAACCCAGATAGTACAACACGGAGTGCAGGCATCTCAGCTGCGAGGTTGAAAGTTCACTGCAGAACTCTGAAGTCACAGGTCAGGTGTTTGGCACAGTGATTAAGTTGCCATTTGGAGTACCTGCATCTCATATTGCAGTGTCTGGGTTTGTGTTCTGCTCTACCTCTGCTTCTAGCTTCCCAGTGGTACAGGCCCTAAGAGAGCAGGTGGTGACCTGCCACTCCTGGCGGACCTGGCTTTGCTCTAGGCCTGGCTGATAGGGTGCAAATTGGGCAATGAAACAGATGCAAGATCTTTCCATATCTTTGTTTCTCTGCCTTTGAAAAAAGAAGGGGCATGTCCTAGGTAAAGGTTTTACTTAATAACTGATCACATACATGATGGTTTTCCCTAAGATTTTTATCTTCTAGTAATATCTTTACCATCCTAGATTGTGCCAGAACACTGAGATGTTTACATGACAGCTTCCCTGACTTCGTGACATGTCCCACCATTGGACAATGTGGAACTATGCTTTCACATGTTGTTGGTTTGGCTGTTCATTATTTCCCTGTATGTCCTGTGTATAGAGATTGCATTTAATGTTTGACTTTTCTGATTGCATTTAATGTTTGACTTTTCAGCCCCAGATCACTAAAAGACTCAGCATTTTCTGTTAATCTTAATGTGAAGATTTTAAAAAATACTTAATTTGAAAGACAGAGGGGATGGCTGGTTGGGGCATCTGGTTTAGACCCCAAGTGCCTGGGCCTCTGGGGCTAGAGCAGCCTGGTCCCAAGGGTTTGGAATTTAATCCAGGACTCTTGTGAGCCAAAGTAGGCTCTCTGGGTGTGCCTATTGGCATGAATCTGGGACTTCAGAACTGAGCTGGTACTCAAACCCCAGCACTCAGATGTAAGATATGGGTGTCCTAAATGGGGCCTTAATTGCTGCACTAAACACCTTTCCAGTGTGTTCTGTTTCTGGTCAGAGTGAGCAGGACTTTGCTCAGTGTGCAGCTACTGCTTCTTAGTGCAGTAGAGGTCAAATGCTTCTCTTAGATCTGAAAAGTTGTCTACAGTAGTTAGGATTACATGAAGTCTCAAAGATAAGCTAATGATGTATTAGATGTTTAAAATTTCTCAACTTCATGGAGACAGTTGAAGTACATTGTATTTACCCATTCAGTGGACTAAACATTCCTTAATTGCCAGGCACGGGGCAAACAGCAAGGACTTAATAAGACAGCAGTAATTTTCCGTGGAGGTGAATAGCATTTTCAACTCTTCTGACAGTACCTCCCAGAAGATTGGTTGACTTTCATTAATCCTCGGCTTGTTCACCAGTGAATGCAGCAGTGATGTCCTGCTGAGCAGAGGGAGAATGTGCTTACAGTGGTTAGATTTTTACTGCTGATGTTGTGTAACTTCTGTAGGCTGAAAGATGGCCACTCAGACATCATTGCCATCAGACCATAGCTGACTACAAAACAACCCTCTTTATTTAAAAAAAAAATTTTTTTTCTATACTTCACAGGTGGAGGAGAGGTAGAACAGAGAGGTCTTCCGTCCACTGGTTCACTCCTCAAATGGCCACAGCCAGCAGAGCTGATCTGGAACCAGGAGCTTCCTCTGGGTCTCCCACCTGGGTACAGGGTCCCAAGCTTTGGGCCATCCTCCATTTTTTTCCAGGCCACAAGCAGGGAGCTGGATGGGAAGTGGAGCAGCTGGGACACCACTGGTACCCATATGGGATGTTGGTCCCTGAAGGTGGAAGAATAGCCTGTTGAGTCACCGCACCAGCCTCTACAAAGCAATCTTTAATTATTTGGATGTGTGGATCATATATAACTCATAATAACTGCTCATACTTAACACTGATAAAGTGCTAAGCCATATGCTGGGTATAGAATATTTAAAGGTGGGCCTGGCGGCATGGCCTAGTGGCTAAAGTCCTCACCTTGCACATGCCAGGATCCCATATGGATGCTGGTTCCTGTCCCAGATGCTCTGCTTCCCATCCAGCTACCTGCTTGTGGCTTGGGAAAGCAGTCAAGGATGACCCAAAGCCTTGGGACCCTGTATCCGCGTGGGAGACTGGAACAGCTTCCTGGCTCCTGGCTTCAGATCAGCTCAGCTCTAGCCATTGCGGTCACTTGGAGAGTGAATCATCAGACAGAAGATCTTCCTCTGTCTCTGCTCCTCTCTGTATATCTGACTTTGCAATGAAAATAAATAAATCTTTAAAATAATTACAGGAAATCCAACATTAGGTCCCTCCTCACAGTTGCACTTACAACACTAGAAGCACTGTGCAGATCAACTGTGACATGAGGTTACCCACCTTCCACTGAATTGGTAGCCTTGGATTTATCTTATTTCTCTGGCTTTTGTGATGAATATAGTATAAACTTATCTTTCATGAGATTGGGTTGTTTAGTAGGCATAATGCTAGAGAAGGCATAATCATACTGGTGACTACTCCACCAGTTCTTGGTAGTTTACGGAGCCACTTTTTATTTCAAAGGATGAATAAGATGATTCTTCAGTGGAGTGGCAAATCAAGTAGTAGACTTGTTGTTGGGGTTGAGTTTGCATTTAAAATGTTATAATGATGGTTAGTATTTGTTCTGCTTATACTCCCGAAGATACCGAAGAACGAGACCAATGGTTTGCCTTACATACCTGACAGTTCACTTGTCTTTGGGGCCTACTGTTCTTGAATTACTGGCAGAATCCCATCTCTTTGGTGGTGGTGGTGGTGGCTTAATAATAATAATAATAGGGCCCAGCGGCGTGGCCTAGTGGCTGGAGTCCTAGCCTTGAACGCACCGGGATCCCAGATGGGCACCAGTTCTAATCCCAACAGCTCTACTTCCCATCCAGCTCCCTGCTTGTGGCCTGGGAAAGCAGAAGAGGACAGCCCAAAGCCTTGGGACCCTGCACCTGTGTGGGATACCTGGAAGAAGTTCCTGGATCCTGGGTTCGGATCCGCGCAGCACTGGCCGTTGTGCTCACTTGGGGAGTGAATCATCGGACGGAGGATCTTCCTCTCTGTCTCTCCTCCTGTCTGTATATCTGACTTTCCAATAAATAATTAAATCTTTTTAAAAAATAATAATAAAAAAAATTTATTTATCTTATTATCATAATAACAATGATTATTGTTATTATTTTACTTGAAAGGCAGATTTACAGTGAGAAAAGGAAAGAGATCTCACATTTACTGATTTACTCCCCAGATGGCCAAAATGGCCGGAGCTGGGCTGGTCCACAGCCAGGAGAGAGCCTGGAGTTTCTGCCGGGTGTCCCATGTGGATGCAGCAGCCCAAGGAGCTGGTCCACCTTCTGCTACTTTTCCAGGCACAATAACAGGAAGCTGGATCTGGAGGTGAAGCAGCTGGGATACACAAATCGGTGCCTGTGTGGGACACTGGTGTCACAGCAGAGAGGCTTCAGCTACTGTGCCTTGTTGTTGGCTTCGATCATTTCTGTTAACTCTGACAGCACACAGTTGAATTTTGCATATGTCAAGTGAATGATATGATCACTATATATAGAAAGACTGATGTATGAAGTTACAGTGTGGTTGTGGGAAGAATACTTAAATAGAACATACATAAAAACAGGAGAACAGCAGCAGCACACCCTCCCTCTGTTCTCACCCCAGCCCTCTAAGATTGAAAATGAGAGTCTTGGGCAGGAATTTGACCTGGCATCTAGATGCCTCTGTCCTGGGCTCAGTGAGATGGCTCAGTGGCTAAATCCTCACCTTGCAACTATTGGGATTCCATATGGGCACCAGTTTGTGTCCCAGCTGCTCCACTTATCCGGCCCCCTGCTTGTGGCCAGGTAAAGCAGTAGAGGATAGGATGAAGCTTTGGGACCCCGTACATGCATGGGTGACCTGGAAGAAGCTCCTGGCTCCTGGCCATAGATCAGCTCAGCTCCAACCATGTGGCCACTTGAGTTCACCAGCAGATGGAAGATCTTTCTGATTCCATTGCTGACCGGCCGAGCCCTGGCTGTCACAGGCATTTAGGGGAGTCGATGGAAGCTTGCTCTGTGTGCCTACCTCTCTGTGCTCAAATATGTAGATAGGTATTTTTCAAAAGAGAGACAGCAACAGATGAGGAAGTTGTGTTAAGATGAGAAAAGTGTTGACACTATATAAAGGGATAAAGCCAGTTATGCAGCATGTTTGAATACCATTTTAAGGGAAATCTAAAAAGTATGCAAATTTTTTTTCAGTTTCTAGATTATTTACTTAATGCACAAAACATTTTGACATGGATGGATATAACAATGCTGCTTTGCACTATGTATGAATAACCTAGAATAAAGAATCAAGATAGGTAAAGCTGTGTGACTTTGCTGATCCTTTAGCTGGGAAGTGTGCCTTGCCAAATGCCCAGCCTTGCCCTTACAGGATAGCTTCCTCTTCCTTTCACTCATCTGCAGTACTTACATAAAGTATTGCAATTACATACTTACATAAAATATTCTGCTTACCTGTGCTATGTGGCACTTTGAGGGAAAATAGTGTAAGTCAAGAATAGTGTTAAAAATGAACAGGGTTATGATATCGACAGTCTGATGAGAAAATAGACTTTTGATACTTTAGAGAATGGAGTCTTTGACACGATCAGAATTTGTCATTCTAAACAATAAAATATACATATGTGAAGACTTTGTTAAGATGATGTATCTTTATAAATATTCAAGGAAAACATGCAGTAAATAAGTTGTTAGTTTCTAGTAGATAATGTAAGGAGCGTCAAATCATGCATAATTTTGAATAAATGGATAATCAGACCTTTCAGATCTTTACAGTGTTTTGGATGGTTGTCTAAATATAGCCCAGGAGCTGAAGAGTTCCATAGAAGGTGACTAACTGTAGATGTGTCATACATGACTGGAAAGCAAGGCTTCAGAGCTGAGCTCTGGGTATTTTTATCCGGTGTGTGGGGTGTCGCACATGCATCACAGCTATAATGGACCTATCACATGGATCATTGGAAGCCAGAGATGACTTAAAGGCTGCTGTGCCGGGGTTCTCAGGCAGCTGCTGTGCTTCTTGGTATCTGACAGTCAAGTCAGTATCTGACTTATTGGAAATAGCTGATTTTAACAGAGAAGTAATCATTTAAATTTTTTTCCCCCAGGAAATGGAAGATAAAGTGACTAGTCCAGAGAAAGCTGAAGAAGCAAAATTAAAAGCAAGATATCCTCATCTGGGACAAAAGCCTGGAGGTTCAGATTTCTTAAGAAAACGATTGCAGAAAGGGGTAAGTTGTTGTGTATGATCCTCAGGGTTTAAGTTCTGTAAACTCAGTTACCATCAGAGATTGGAAAATAACTGTGTCATATGTCTGTCTCTGTGTATGTGTATTATTTTCTGTTTCATATTGGTCATTCCATAAATGTCAATAGAAATCTCTGATGTCTTAAATTATGAACAATTTTAAGCATGTACAATAAGGCAGGAATAATGTGATACAAACCCAATGTCCTCACCTAGAGTGAATGTGTTAATATTTTCATGATATTTCTTCAGTTTTATCATTGTAAGAAAGAAAACGTGGGTAGATACAGTTAAAACCTGTGTACATTTACCCCTTCCCCACTGAAAAAATATCCCCTATCCTTTTGTTTTACTTTTGCCTATAATCTATTATCCTTTTGCCCATAATTTTAATGTTTAAAAATTTTAGAGGTGAGACCTACAGAGCATTCAAAGGCTTAAAATGAATTTTACTTGGAAGAAATGGTAAACTAAAGTACAGGTTACTTTATCCTTCAGGTAATATGTTTCACAGTTACTCTGATGTGGTTAATTCATTGTAGTTTTACTAGTTCAGATTACTGGAAACATTTTATTCAAAATTAGTCATGCTTTGTCAGGTGTACAGTATCCTTTCTCAGTGCCATTGGATTGAGGGATTGTTGCTTGCCTCTTCCCTTTCCTCTGTTCTGTGAAATTGGGAGGGCTCCGTCTTGAGCTTAATCACAGTTAAATTACTTACCAGCTAGGGAACATTTCCTAAATGTTATTTAGGAAAGATAATTATTGACTAAGAAGCCAAATCAGATTTGCCCTTACATGAGATCTTAAAAATGCAAGTATCCCCTGCTTGCTTTAAAAAATGTGTGTTATCCATGGTTATGTATAAATTGCTTTCCCAAATCAAAAAAGATTTTAACAGATCTTTAAATTGGCAAATAATAGAGTGGATGGTGTTTTTCTCTTACGTGAAAAAATAACATTCAGACCTTTGAAGTAATGGCAGGGAGAAATTGTACCAAATATATAAATATGTAAGCCTGTGTGTCATGAGATGTGATCTGGAAGGTTAATATGATAATAATCAATGTTAATATTTATGAAAATGAAAGAAAACTTTGAAATGTACAAGAAACACAGTGCCCCTGGATAAAGGATTTTTTTTTTTAATATCTGTTGAGGCTGAAATAATGACATTGGCAAATTCTTTGTTGTGTTTAAACATTTAAATTTACTACTTTTATTTTCAAAAGGGATGTGGAACAAATCCACATAAATGTTCACATTCTCTAAAAAGATATAAGTATGAAGAGAAATTTTTGAGTTTGAAGATTTTAAACATTTTTATAGCTAACAAAAATAAAAGGGATAAGTAAAACTAGCTACGTAGGTGTGAATGTACCAGTTATGAAATAAATTATATAATCTTGACTATTAACATATTGGATTTCTGATTTATTAATGTTTTGGAAACTCTTTGCTAATCTAGCATAACTTAGGTTAATAGCCTTTCTTCCAGGAGTGGAGCTATTATTGTAATTTTTCTCCAGCTTTAACTATTTGTAACTTCCTAAAAGTATTCTTAAAATCAGAATTTATAATATCTTAGAAGTGGTGTTGTTAGCTCTCTGATTGTGGCCTGGGAAAGCAGTCGAGGACGGCCCAAAGCCTTGGCACCCTGCACCGGTGTGGGAGACCTGGAAGAAACTCCTGGCTCCTGGCTTCAGCTTGGCTCAGCTCCAGTCATTGTGGCCACTTAGAGAGTGAGTCAGCAGATGAAAGATCTTCCTCTGTATATCTGATGTTCCAATAAAATTAAATAAATCTTAAAAAAAAAAAGAAATGATGGTGTTGATGTAAATAATTGGCAATGAAGACAGTGCCAATTTCATTGTGAAATATATAGAATTTGAAATATCAATCCTTTTATATTATGGAAATAAGGTTTTGACTTAAGTTATAGCAGTAAAATATTTTGATGAATTGAATTCAATGAGAGTCCTGTGTTTAAATTTTCTTCTGTCAGAATAGCTAGCAAGATTGGCAAGTTACTTTAAAATCTTGAGTTTCCTTGTCACAGATTATATAGTACTATCAGCTTAGGTCCCTTTCTGTCCTGTACTCACTCACATTATTTATATTTTTCGTAGCCTTTCAGCAGCCTGTCAGGCTAGAAGGGGCAGCAAGAAGCAGTCCAGCCTGTTTTCTTGTTTGTGGAATTGGTGAAATCCCAAGGGTTCCGTCTCAAGAGGCTTTAAGCCTGACTTCAGATGCCCATGTGACATCGAGACGAATGTCAGTACCTTGTTATGCGCAGCCTCTAAGTCTAGGGGGAAGGATGCTTGTAGGATCATCATCCAGATTATCTGGACAATATGGACAGCTCCAGTCTCCGTGAGTCCTAATCTGAGAAACAAACCGCTTCACTCCTCCTCCTCGGAAGCTGGACTCTGCCAGCCTTGTCAGGTCTCTGCCTTCACTGATCATGTCATGCAGACTTGATGCCTTTGGCAGCAACTGGTTTCTTTTTAGGGAAGTTCTAATTATTAGTCATTGATTTTAGTGTATTTCTGTTGCCACAAAAAATGAATTTGATTTCTTTTGCCCAAGCAGAGTAGTCTAATCTGCATTTCAATGAAATCACCTTATCATGAAGTTTTGCTTACTTCTCTTAAAACTGAGTTTATTACACTTGGGGAAGTCTGCTAAAATTTGCACTTTTCAGGTTGCTTTGTTCTTGAGTCCACTGAACTCAAACAGCTCTAGTACAGTATATAAATACAATATAATATATTACAGCAAAAATTCCTAAATTTCTTTTTCTGTACCCATTTGAAAACAAAAGGCAGAAATGAAGTGTAAGAAGGCTGGTCCTGAGATTTATGTATTTATTTAAAAACCAGCGTTACAGTTGGAGATAGAGAAATCTTCCGTTTGCTCTTTTATTCCCCAAATGGCCAGAACAAAGCTAGGAACCAGGATCTTCATCTGAGCACACTCTGCCTGATCCCAGAAAAGCAATTTCTAAGCATAGGCTCTTTGGCTTGCCAAAATGGTCCCTGAAGGAGGCAGCCATGGAGACATTTTCTCCAGGCCATGTGATCTGACAGTGATCTGTGAGTTCCCAGTACTTGATGTTAACCCATGCTGTCTGACATGCTGACCCTCTAATCTGCTGCTGGGACCCTCTGTTCCTATGTTTTGTCGTATTTGCTATGATTTCCAGCAAATTTCTTTCTTTCATTTTGGCACTTGTGTTTACCTGTATTCTTACCCAGTGCTCATGCTCAAATTAATGTTGTAAATTCTTGAGAAGATGTTCGTCCCAAATGATAGAGAACTAATAACTGAAAAGTAATAGTTTCAGTAACTGTAAGGTTGAGTGGGGGTGAGTGGCAAATCCTAAATTACAAATTGGCGAATGGTTTTATTTTCAAAATCAGTGATATAAGAATTTCAGCCTGGCTATTTCATTTAGCAAATATTAAGTGTGAAGTTTGTTTTGTTTTGTTTTTCATTACATTTGTTCTTATTGGAAAGACAGATTTACAGAGAGGAGGATAGACAGAAGGATTTTCCATCTGCTGGATCACTCTGCAAGTGGCACAACAAAGCTGAGCCTATCTGCAACCGAGAGCTTCTTCTGGGTCTAATATGTGGGTACAGGGTCCCGAGGCTTTGGGCCATGCTGCGCTGCTTTCCCAGGCCACAAGCAGGGAGCTGGATAGGAAGTGAAGCAGCTGACACAACCAGTGCCCACATGGAGTCCCATCTCTTGAAGGGGGAGACTTAGCCAGTTTAGCTACTGCTTATTTATTCTGTCAGTGTAGGGTCCCATCTACACCTAAAATAAGCAAAATTGAACATGAAAGCTTTCAAAATCTAATCTGATTTTTGTTTTCAATTTATAGCAAAAATATTTTGATTCTGGGGATTACAACATGGCAAAAGCAAAAATGAAGAACAAGCAACTTCCTGCTGCAGCCCCGGATAAAACGGAGGTCACTGGCGATCACATTCCCACTCCTCAGGACCTTCCTCAGCGGAAACCCTCCCTTGTTGCTAGCAAGCTGGCTGGCTGATTAAAAGAGCTGAACTGCATGAATCTCCTGATTCCCGTGTTTTCTCCTTACTGTATCACCTATCCACACCTTACTTCCTTTTGTTCTCTAAGTCATTTGAAACTGACAGCTTTGCAGGTAGTGGTAGCTTTTGCTGCTATTGTAAGGGAATATACATGTGTAGAGTTTTTGATTAGTTAAACAGTGCACTGATGACAAAGACACGTTAGAGCAACATAATCTACTTGAAAATAATTGTATATATTACCTAACTCCCAGTGTAGCACCCAACAAGTAACAAGTTTTACAGTTGTAACGGTTTGGCTTTACTTACTTCATCTTAAGTACAGCTTTGTATGTTACTCTAATTTAACATAACCTCTATTGTATTTCTTCTGTATTTCCCTTTTGGATTTTGTAAAACAGAAGTTTAAGACCACAAGTGGTAAGAAAAGTCAGATAATTCAAACACAATTAGATGGATTTCGAAAGATTTGTATTTCTGTGCTTAAACTTGAACGGCCTTAAACCTGTTTCAGCTTTAACAGTAGAATTTGACTTGGGCAATATTTGCCCATTCTGTTGTTTCCTGTGTGACTCAGTGCTTAACAGCTGCCGTCGGAGCTAGTGTTCTAACACAGTCCTGTAATGTTAGAATCCCTTTTGTTGTTGAAGATGTGAATGACGTATGCATGTGCATTGACTGTTGAATTCACTTTTGTGCCATTTTTTGTAAATATAATAGTTTTGCACAACCTTTCACAAATGTCTGTATTAATTTCACAAATTAAAATGGAGTTAATGTGCCAACCAGAAGCACAAGAGTTATACACAAAACCCTCTCATTACAGCCTTTCTAACAGTTTACAATCTTGGGCTCATGGAGTACCAAACTGAAATCTGCTCAGTCTATCATAGACTTAGCTATGTTGTGTGTTTGTTTCCAATATCCATGACTTTCAGTGGCCTTGTCCAGGTGTGAGATATTGCTTAGGCGTATCTTTGGTCCTATGCAGAATATTGCATTTTCAGAACTTGCCTGAAAATAACAGGTCATATAATTTACATAAACTTTTTAAATGCAGATACTTTTACTTTCATACTCAGCTTCGGGGATGCTACGAGTAGAGGCTTTCTTACTTGGCCCTCTGTCCTCCCCCTATTCCCTACCCCATCTTCTTTGATTCAGATGGTCTAGGGCTCTTCAGGCTGTGGAAGTACAGGTTTCTAATCTTCACGCTATATGAAATATGCTTTGCTGTATGTATTATAACACAATAATGACATTTGCTGTCTAAATTCTCAGTTGCTAATTAATCACTCTTAAGAGATCCTTTATTTTTATCCATAATTGATAATTGTTTAAATACAAGGAAACAAATAGTTGAATACATTGGCCCAGCAACCTGTGTCAGCTTAATTCTGGTGAATGATTATGCTCAGTTAATAGGTAAGACTTGTGACAGAGTATTTCACATGGCAAATAAATTAATTCATGTTTAAATTATTTAGACATTTGCTCTGTCCATGTCACCACAGCAAAATGTCAAGTAATTTTACTTATAGTTTACTTAGAACTTCAGCAGACTTTACTGGAACAGCATTCACCACTCTTAGCTCTTGCCAACAATTGTAATGCTGTAGAAGGATAAATGAGGGTTGGTGGCCTAAGGTGATGTTATTTTTATCTTGACTTAGATTTAGACATCTTTTGTGGATCTTGGTTCCATCTGCATACCTGCTTTTCTGTGATCCCGACCGTTAGTAGATGATGCCTCAGACACAGCTGCTACACTTAAACGTTGATGATCTTCCTACTGGACCCAAGCCAAAAGGCGGAAAAGCAAAATCAGTGCTGTGTTCATTGTGATCTTAAGGATCAGTTCTGTATAAATACAAGTAGGTTATTCTGTAATATGTATACTTCTAGTATTGACTTGAGAATTTTGAAATATTCCAAACTAGAATTTCTATTACATCTACTTCTTATTTTTCTATGACTATTTACAGATTATCATTAAATTCACACATCATACAAGATGAATCCATGTTATTCCTGACCATGATAATATTCCTGAAGTATGCAACAGGTGACATGGCATCTGCTTTTTAAATTTGTAAAATGCAGTGCTAATATTTTAACCTACCTCAAAACTTGACGAGGATCTGTGAAATGTTAAGTGTCCAAAATAAAATAGTGTTGATTGTCTTTATATTACAAGTAATTTTCTGCATTAACCCAACCTGACTTGTGTCAAGTTGCAGGACTTACAGTCTCAAGATTTTCCAGTGGGAAAGACCTGTCATCAAGGATCTCTGTCGTATTGCTGATCTCCATTGGTGCTTCAAATAATAGAGAGGTTTTACATTTTTCTATTTTTGTGTGTGTTACCTCAAAGGTCAGTTTCTTTTAGATATTTTTATAGACTATTTGGCATCACTTGAATGAAGAGTTTGGCTATATGAGCCGAGCTGGCCATTTCTTTGATTTTAACATTGAAGTCGGTCACTGTCTTTCACAAATGAATGTTAAAGTACACTAAAGTTGGAGACATACTTTATGGACAAAAGACTGATGTTACTTTATAACCTACTTTGGTTAGTATGGTTCTGAGGAATTTTTTTTCCCCCAAGCATCTGACTATATTATATTTCTTGGCAAATAACAATAGTAAGGACTGTGGATCTTGATGACTTGGAAGTAGCGTGTTTGCAGTTAACTACTTACTCAATGGCTTTTTGCTGCAGACCCCAAAAAATGTGTTTTGACTACTCATCAAAGAAAGCCTGGTCAGACCTCTACATGCTTTTCAGCATTTGAAATTTGTTGCTTTATTACTTGATGTTACAAAACTGGACCCTGAATATTTATTGATAACCTTTACAGAATCAGACTTGCATTCTTTCTGTGTTCAAAACAGCAAAGGTTTATGGAAGTCCAAATATGCCACCTGCTTAAGTTATGCTGTGAGATCAAAGTTTGGTGATCAGAAACAAGGAACCACCTATACAGAAGAGCGCTGCTGAGTAGGAACCAAACCAGTGTTTCTGGTAACCTTTTCCTGTTCTCCAACGTCCACTTTGTGTTTCCCTTCTTTGAGAGTTGGTTTCACTTACTTTGTATTACTGATTCCCATTGTTGGCTCTCATGAAATGGGATTTAGGACTGATAGATTTTCAGTCCTTAGTACACACCGTATTTTGTCACATTGAGGACATTTTTCTGAAGCACCATCCTGGTGTGGATAACAACCAACAGGAGTGACTGCCCCAACTCTGTTGTTCAGCGTGCACTGCCAGTCTTCTCCTGTATCTCTGCCCTGATTCCCCATTACACCCCTTGTAATATTGGGAGCAAATCTCTGGTTGTTAATCTAAGGATAAAGCCACTGATTTGAATACTCTTATTAGTTTCAGGTGGTGGTCATGATAGTTATTAATGTGTATTATGTTATTTATTGGCTAAGTAGAAGTTGAAAGGAAATATTATTCCTTTAATATCATGCCCTGGAAATCTGTTACTACCATCTCCAGTATTTGTAAAGCAATAGGACGCTTCACCTGTATTGAAAGGGCCATAAGTGAATGTTGTTTTTGTTTAACATGTCTATAAGTTGGCAGTTATTGCTGAAAGTTTTCAAGTAGCCCTTCCAAAATTATACTTGTGAAATACTAAAAAAATAAATCAACCTATCTAATTTCTCTTGATTTAATTTGCAGTTTTTGTCTTATTTAAATGTTAGTGTTGTTTTTACTATGTGTTGAAAATTGATCCCTTTAGATTTCAAATATTATATACAGAAAGAAATTAAAGCTTGTAGACTTAGATTCTATTTTTCCTTATGTGTCAGATGATGTTCTTACAGTCTTATTTGTAAAGGCTTTTCAATTAATGTAGGACTAAATGTTTATAATCTGGGTTTTTTTCATCCCATATAAAACATTGGTACAAATGCTGTTGGGTGTAAAAGTGTGAATGAGATGGCTTGGGTTGAGAAGGATGAAGAGATGAATCATTTAACCTTCATAAACAGGATGGGTGCTAGATCAGGTGAGGACCTCAAAGGTGGCTCTGAGAGATGGAATGCTGCAGGGATGGATGGGGAACACCTGGAAGAAAGCATCTCAGACACAGGGAATGATCCTTTCCAGAAGAGAAGCAAGTGGGGGAAATGGGACCCCGTATATGGAAACATAGTTAAACACAGCATATAAATCCTGATTTTTCTGTATTTCTCCCTTAAGCCTTTAAAAAAAAAAATTTTTTGTTGTTGTTGTTAAAGATTCTGTTTGCTGGTTCACTCCAGTCGCTTATAACAGCCACAGCCCAGGCAGAGTCAAAGAAAAAGCCAGGAGCCTGGAATTCAATTTGAGTCTACATAGGTGTGAGAGACTGGGTCATCTGTTGTCTACCAGGGTACCCAGTACCAGGAAGCTTAATGGCAGAGCTGGGGCTCAAACCCAAGCATTACAATATAGAATTGGGGCATCCTGATGTGGTAACTGCTGCGTCGGCCCTCTGTTAAACATGTGCTTTCCTGCAGCCTTCAAATCAGTAATGATAGCCCTGCATTTTTCCACTCAGTCCTTTCTCAGGAGCATGCCGTGCAGTGGCTCACATCCTTTGCTACCGGCACTATACCCAAAGCCATTAATACTTCCCTGGGCAACTGCCGTAACTTCTACCTAACATCACTTTCTACTCCTGTTTGTTTTTTCCTCCCCTCTTTGCCACTTCCATTCTTACTATAGTAGTAAGCTTTTAAAAATTAAATCATGTCAGGCCCAGCATAATGGCTCAATAGCTAGATCTTTACCTTGCAATTGTCAGGATCTCATATGGACACTGATTTGTGTTGGCATCTCCACTTGCCATTCTAGCTCCCAGCTCCCTGCCCCTGGCCTGGGAAAGCTGTGTGTGTGTGGTGGTGGTGGGGGTTGGGGGTGAGCCAAAACCTTGGGACTCTGCATCTGTCTGGGAGACCCAGAAGAAGATCCTGGCTCCTGGCTTTGGATTAGCTTATCTCTAGCCATTATGGAGCTTAAGAAGTGAACCAGCAAATGGAGGATCTTTCTATCCTCTCCATAGATCTGCCTTTCCAATACAAATCTTGCTGGTTCACTCCCCAAATGACCACAACAGTTGGAGCTGAGCTGATCCAAAGCTAGGAGCTTCTTGGTCTCCATACGGATGCAGGATTCCAAGGACCTGAACCATCCTATACTGCTTTCTCAAGCCACGTGCAGAAGGCTGGATGGGAAGTGGAGCAGCTGAGACACATAGGGGAAGTCAGTGCTTGCAGGCAAGGATTAACCAATTGAGCCACTGTGCTGGCCATATTAATTGTCTAGGTGTTACTGTTGCACTCCTAGAAAACAAGAGATCTTCAAAAAGCTTCATGAGAGTGGTGGAAAAAAATTTATATAAGGATATCAAAAATTTGCATACCAATCAAATAGCTTTCAACACCAACTTTTTGAAGTACATACTCAACTGCTTATAGAATAAAGTGAAATGAATATTGGGTTCAAAGTGCAAGTGAACAATCACGTTGAAGATTTGGGCAGAGGGACTGATTCTAGGTCTAGGCCCTTACATGGTCTCCATGAGGAAATATCCCTGATCATTTCCTCAAACCTCACAGTGCTGAAAGTGACAGCTGATTTTCTACTGCAAGGACACCAGATTCCCTACGTCCCTGCTTTTGAAAGAGCTAACCTTGGAAGCAATTCTGTATCTGATGTTGGAGAATAAGGCTG